GTCCAATTATAGAAACCCTTAGGAAAAAAGAGGATGAAATCGAAATATAGCTGCTACACCAAAACTAGGTGACAAAGAACCAATTCTATTTTTTGTCATTTAAATGTGCCATTGTGTGATTTTATTTTAATTAAATATTTTAACTTGTGTGTTAGTTGTTGTTAAGGGTTAATTAATATTTGGTGTTTAATTTTGGTTTTACATTTTACTTAGGAATTTTGTTGAATTAGAAATTAAAAGAAGAAAAAGAAAAGTTAAAAAAATGAAGAAAATTCGGATTGGGCCCAAAATTAGACCAACAAATCAGGCCCAAAGCATTTGAACGACCCAGTCCAGGTCCCTGATCTCCCAGACCCTCAAACGACGCCGTTTCAAGCCTATCAGATCTGGACCGTTGATCAAACAGATCTAACGGTCCAGTGCAGCTCCCGACTTAAGTCAAACGACGCCGTTTCAAGCCAATTGATCTGAGCCATTCATCTTGTTCAATCTAACGGTCTCAATCCCTTACCATAACCCGACCCATTTCACCCAAAGACCGACCCAATCTCGTCACTTAACCAAACGGCGTCGTCTCCCTTTAATGAAAGGATCCAGGCCGCTGATCAGGCTTGATCGAACGGCCCAGATCCATCCACCCCGCCCCTATATAAACTTAACCTCGTACCCCAGCCCCCCAAACCAAACCCCCCCCCTCTCGTCTCCTGTTCATCGTCTCAAAGATCAGAGACGAGCTAGGGTTTAACCCTAGCCGCCACCCTATCCCAGCGCCTGAAACCCGGCGGCAACAATGCCGCCAGCCACCATCTTAACACCCTAGGGCGACTCAACCACCCTGAATCCAATTCCAGTGGTCGTTTGGTTCGAATCCTCCCCAAACGTGTCGAATCTTCGTTTGAATATTCGAGCAAAAACCTAACTTACACCAACCAGCCCCAAATTCACACCAGTCACTCCCCTAACCTCCCTCATACCCTGAATAACTTTGGTTCCCTTCGAATCTGACCAGAACTGTTCGAACCCCAAATCGAGCCCTCAAGAACCCTAGAAAACGAGATGATGAAATCTATCCAATTAATTAGGGACTTGGGGTCTAATCGACTTTAATCGAGGTGTTCTCAGTTGAGAACACTTCGACTAAGGTCTGTTCGACCTCAAAGCGGTCAGTCCGAGTTCGAACCTGGGTCGCCTGAGTTTTGAGGTACCTTTTTCTTTTTCTTTTGTTCTATATTCATATTTTTATCTGTTTACATGTTTAGTTTAGTTTATTTGATTTTTCGATTTTTTTTTTCTTCTTTCAACTTATTCTGGCCATCTTCAAAGACCCTTTGTTTGGTCGATTTTTCTATTTCATGTGTTAAATATGTGTTATAGACTATATATTCGATTCGATTAACATCATCGAGTAGTTAGTTCACTTTGGTCCCCTGTTTTGCCCAAAGCCACTGAATTCATTTGGTGGCCTGTTTGTTTATTGTGTGTTTGTTGTCTGTTATGGCTCATATAGTCGATTGATGAAATGTCGTCAATTAGTTTCTTGTATTTGAATACCAGAATCACATGATGATAGTTTCATTTTTCCAGTATGTTTGTCATCTTGTTCTTTCTGTTTGATTTGTGCGATCAAGATGAATTTATGAATGTGTTCATCTCCTCTTTTGGATCGAATGATTGCCCATTTGAAAATCACCCCTGTTTTGCATATTGGATCACCTGCCTTGCTTCAACTCTGTATGAATCACTGCCTAAATTTGACTAGGATTGGTTATAACTGTGTGGTTGTTTAGTAGTTAATAATCAGTGTTAGTTAAATTTAGAGGGGTTTATATACTGACTGTTAAGAGTTAGGGCAGAACAGTAATCTTCAGGGGTTAAGGGCAACTTTGGGATTTAACAGGGTCTAATTAGAATTAACTAAGAGGGTCTGTCAAGTTGGTTAATAATTAACCTTAGTTTAATATCAGTGGGGGACATAACACAAGGGCATGGGGTTTAAATTCTAACACACCCATGACTCTTGATTAGTACAATGGGAACCAAGTGTGGGGAACAAAAATAACTTGCATCAAGAAGACAAGTAGGAGTGGGAATCAAAGGGGAATGGGCAGGTCTAGGTCTGACAGCTTCAAGGCAGACCTTAGAGGTCTGTTCCTGGTTATAAATAGGATCAGTTTCGACATAAAAGAAGCTGGCTTTTGAAAAAATCTTGAGAGTTCAGTATTGAGAGAAAATTGATTGGCTTTCGAAAACACCACTCCTTCAGAAGTCACACATTGTAAATTAATTGAAAAGGGTACTGTCCCATTTAAGTCTAGGCAGAAATTTAGATTCCGGGCACTGATTCTTGCCTTTTCTAATTGTTGAATCTGTTTGGAAGTCTGTTGATTCTTTTGAGCATATTCGAGCCTAGTTGTTCTGTCTTGGCGGTGTTTTGTGTTGCTGTTGGTGTTGCATCTCTGTGGCATCTACTTTGGGTGTTTGTATTGTTGTTGGTATAGCTGTGGGTCAAATTCTTTCCCTGTTGGTTTCTGGTTTGAATTGTGGCCAATCTGGTACTGGTGTTAGCTGTTTTCACTCTTCTATTGCTGCTGGAATTTTACTGCTGGTTTTAAGTCTGAGTTGTTTGGTGCTACTGCTCTGTCACTGTTGCTGTTGTTGCTGTGTTACCTACTGCTGACTGATCTTCCTTCTTCTGTTCTGTTTTTCCAATCCAGGTACATATTTTTTAACCTCAGTATCATGTAAAGTTAGCAGAACTGAAAAAAAATGAAAAATGGAAGCCCAGCTTCATGGGAAATTCAGCATGTATTGTAGTTACCTTATAGTTGATTGTAATAGTTTAAACCATAATTAGGACTGATTGTTTAAATGATTGAATGTATAATGGACTGTATAGTTTGTATCTTTCAGATTCATTCCTATAATTCTAAAATAGGTTCAACTGGTTTCATGTATCAATCTGTTATTCAGTAGTCTGTTATGAAATAGTGAGTCATGTAAGCGATTAACGTTTGTTAGAAACAATCAAAAATAGTGTACAACAGGTTCGTATATAGTGTTAAATGAAGCCATATAATCAAGTTGTTTTATTCGAATCATGTTTCCAGTTTAATTGTCAATTTAGTAGTAGCATAGTAATTCATCAGCAGATTAAGAAATGAGGAAGCCCAAGCTTTAGGAGTTAGAATCAAATCCGATCCTTATGTTCCAAACTTCTTTCTTTGGGGTTTAGTGAAATAATTAGGTTCAATGAGGTCTTAAATTTCCTGCATAACGGTTTGAATAGAAAAAATCAGTTTCAGTTTTATTGTAATCGATTGATAAACTGGGCATCAATTTGAATGAACGATACTTGTCCATCGTAAAATCTGCTGGATAACTTCGGGCCTCCGGGCGTCCGTTTGAGGCCCTATTTGAGTTTAATTGATGAATAAAAATACATAGTCTAACAATATAAGTTTGGGCTTCGAGTTAGGTAGCGGGTTCAAATTAGGAGGGTCCCCCCTTTTGTTTGAATTCGGACTTGAGCTCGAGGCCCGAATTTATAAATATGTAATTAATTAGGACCTTTTCTTTATCTTTAGAGACGAAAAATAAATAGAGAATCATAGTCGCTTTACGACATCCTTGAATAAAATAAATGAGACGAGCCTCGCCAAACAAAAACGCACAAGCTGCGGGGCCCTCAATAGAAGTTTATAATAAATACTTAGATTTCGGGAGGGGCCGTTTAGCGAATTTCACGGCCTTCCCCCAAAATAATAACGCGATAGTCTCTTTAGGCGCGTGTTTAATAATCATACCTTCTTAAACTCGGGTGTGCATTTCATGCGACCCATCCAAATCCCAAAACGTCGAGTCAACTGTGTTCAGGATTGCGGGTGCATTTCATGTGACGTGATCCAAAGACATGTTTTAAACGACGTTCAATTTTCTTTAATCATTTGAATAAAAGCGGTTAAAAGTTAAAATTGGCACATAAGTTGCAACATGTTTTAAAAATCAGATAAATAAGCCGAATACGACAGTTGAGCGACCGTGCTAGAACCACGGAACTCGGGAATGCCTAACACCTTCTCCCGGGTTAATAGAATTCCTTACTTGGATTTCTGGTTCGCGGACTGTTAACAGAGTCATTCTTTTCCTCGATTCGGGATTAAAACCGGTGACTTGGGAAACCATAAATCTCCCAAGTGGCGACTCTGAATAAATCAAACTAATCCCGTTTCGATTGTCCTTAAATTGGAAAAACTCCCCCTACGCCCCTGCGGGTGCGGGTAAAAAGGAGGCGTGACAGCTCTGGCGACTCTGCTGGGGACGCTGACCCAGAACCACTGGTTCAGGGTTAGAAATTCGAGCTTGGTATATTTGTTGTATTTGGCTTATGTATTATCTGATTTTGTTATATGTTTGGGCCTAATGTGCTAAGTGTTACCGCTTTGATATTTTGTGAACTGTATATAAACTGTGCCGAAACCCATCTCCTCTCTGAGTCTTCTAAATCATGAAGAAGGGTGCACTTCGTGTGACTTCTTTTCTGTATAGAGTCTACCCCCAATTTAGAACGAGGTTCGGATGAGTTGCAAAGCCGGTGAAGCTTCTGTATTCCCGGTACGCTGCCTCCCCCTCGGCTCGAGCTGTCCGCTCGGGTAAGCCAGGTTTAGAACAATAAACCCAGATTTTAAACTTAGTATAACAAAGCCTCATGCCGGATCCCTAGTAGGAATGCTTATTTGCATCATGTGCATTTGACTTAGGGGACTCAACACAGGGGTTGGGTCCGTCTAGGACAAGCAACCTGAAGTGAAAAGACCATCCTGCTGCATCCTGTTTGATTTATGCATTTGTTTGTTTCAGACTTGCATGCTGACCGGCTTCCGAAAATCGGGAATATTAGAAAATTGCGAAAAAGAGAAAAATAGCAGTGTAGAGAGATAACTATTTATTTTCAAAAAAAACCAATGCACAAGTAGTGTCGAAACTCTGCCAAAATTTTGAAAAAAGGGAAAAAAGAAAGAAATGTGTTTTGAAAAAGGAGTCTTGTTTTTTAAAAAATCTAGTTATTTTTCCTTGCCCGAACTACGTCGGTTTGATTCTCACCGGGTGTGAGATACGTAGGCAACCCTCATCGGGTCCAACTTCCCCTGTTTTGCAAAAATAACCAGAAAATGTCAAAAATTCTATTATAAGCTGGGCGATGCCGTTGTTAAAAACAGCCAAATGTTCCCGAAAGGGACGCCGGAGGGCTGACTTTGCATAAACAGCCACTTTTGGTCATTTTTGAATTTTTGACCAATTATCCCAAAAATCCTCGTCCCCGAGGCTCTGTAAGGCCATGTTTTCAATGATGGGTAGCTATTTTTGGAAAAACAAGAGAAGAGTCTTAAATAAATCAAGTAATGCTGTTTTTGTCAAAAATAGCCAAATGTTCCCGAAAGGGACGCCGGAAGGCTGACTTTGCATAAACGGCCACTTTTGGTCACCTTTTTAGAGTTTTGACCGATTGACCCTCACAGCCTTAAAATCTTCATCTCCGAAGTGCTGAAAGGCCGTGTTCGGAAAAGCGGATCTTTCTTTTTTTTAAATTAAGAAAATCATTTTTTGAGTCAAATAAATTTTTACTTTTTGTTTAAATCACCTTAATAAATGTGCAGGATGAGCACAAGTGAAAACAAACCCTTCACCGTCTTTAGCGAGGTCCCTCTCCAGCTCCATATGTGGTGGAACGATTTGGAAAAAAGCAGCAAAGAAATAGTGGTCAGAATCTTGGGGGGTCTCATCAGGCTACTAAATGTCAAGGCAAGGCCGGATGTCATCGAGGCTTTAATACCGTTTTGGGACCCGACCCGAAATGTGTTTCGCTTTGCGGATTTTGAGCTTACACCCACACTGGAGGAAGTAGCAGGTTATGCGGGTATGAATGGGAATCTGAGAAGTCAGTATCTGTTGTCACCGAGACCGGTATCTCCACACCGCTTTCTGGATTTGTTAAATATCAGCCGGACTATGCAAAATAACGATTTATCAAAAGGATGCTGCGCTCTTCAGTTCTTATATCAGCGTTATGGTAATCCGCGTGGTTTTGACGAGCCAAAATTGGGACTGACTCATGCCGGAAACAGAGGTAAATGGGAAGCAAGACGAACCTTGGCATTCATAACGGCATTCTTGGGAATCATGGTTTGCCCACGAGACGACAAGAAAATAGAGATAGGTCTCGTGGGGATGGTTGACGTCGCAATGAAAAGGGCTGACAGCACTATAGTTCCCCTGATCGTATCAGAAATGTACCGAGCATTGACTGTGTGTAAGGAGGGAGGAAGTTTTTTCCAAGGTTGTAATCTATTACTTCAGTTGTGGATGCAAGAGCATCTCTGTCATCAGGTGGGGTATATGAACTACGGGCTGACTGGTTTAAGCTGCATTGAAAAGTTTGAGAAGCGGGTAACGGGTGTCGCGTTCCTCGAGGGTACTGAATATTGGTTTGTACGACTGAGATCCCTGACGGCGGACCAAATTGAATGGGCATTCGGTTGGTTGCCCGCTACTGAAGCAGTATACATGTCAGCAAAAGAATGTTATGTTCCTTTGATGGGTGTCCGTAGTATCCAACCATACGCTCCCCATCGGGTATTGCGTCAATTGGGAAGGTTCTAGGTTGTCCCTAAAGATGAAGATTTGAGCAAGCATGTCATCGAGCTAAGTCCGAAAGCCACGTTCCTGGAAGATACAATTCGCAAGTTGTGGCACGAATGTAGATTCCTCGAGCCCAAAACTATGGTACGAGATTTGGCCAAAGGCGAGGTAGACCCAAAGTATGATGCATGGTTCGGGAAAAGATTCCAGACTCATCAGAGGCCTGCTAAAAGGGCCCATGTCCAGCAATTCACGGATGACTCGCAAGAACAATGGGTTTGGCTGGCAAGAGAAGAAGGCTATCGGGTTGAAATTGGCAAGCTGAAACAGCAAATTGCGGACCTCAAATATGAAAATAGCTTGCAAATTGATGCTAATACGGGAGAGAAGAACAGGTTGACTCAAGAAAACAAGGCCCTGAAAACCCGAATCCGACGAGTCAGAATGGATGCCAACAACCAACAGAGAAGTCGGGCCGACAAAAGAATGATAGCTGGGTTGAAAAATCAAATCACTGAATACCAAGAGGGTTTGGAAAGGTCTGAAGCTAGCATGGCGAGAATCCGAGACAGATGGGCGAGAGGTACAGAAGAGCGAGCACAGCGTATGCGGCAAATGAGAAGGGATTATGAAGGGACCATTGCTATATTGAGAGAAACAAATTCCACTCTCAAAGAGTGGGTCCTTAAACAAGCTCGAGATGCCAGAACAGACAGGAAGCGTTGCTATGACTTGATGGCACGAATGGAAGAACAAATGGAGAGGTTCCAAGACCAGCTCGCTGACAAAGCTCAAGTGCTGGGAACGAAGAATCAACGAATAGAGCAACTGCTTATGGAAAGGGATAGAATCAGGGGTAGAATTGAAGAAATTGGGTAGTACATCACCATGAGGTGCCTAGCATGTGAGGAAATGCCCCGTACTGCCCTCTTTGCTTCAGTCATGGGTTACATCTACCAGATCATGCAAGAATTGAAAAGCTTGCAAAGGGGCCTCGCCCCAAAGCCTGCGGAAAGGCCGAACGATGCCCCGCGGTCACCAAAATTCAAAGCTTTAATGTATCCCTAGTTCAAGTCTGTACAGTTTGTTTTAAAGAGTCTGTTGTCTACCCGTCTGTTCTCTTTTCACATCGAATCATGTTAGTAGTTTGGAGTCTGTATGTTGTTTTTCCTTTTTCAAATGGGTAGCTTGTAATAGCATATTTTGGTAATGAAATGAAAGATTCCAAAAATTTTGTGTCTTTATTTTATTTGTGTCAGAACTATGCCCGGTCTGATGCATGCGGGGATATGATACGTAGGCAATCCCCATAAGATTCGACCACCACTAAAAAAGAAAAAGAAAAAAAAAGAGTAAGAGAATAAAAGGAAAAAGGGGGAAGAAATAATGGAGGAACACTTGAAAGAGGCACAAATAAAATAAGCTGGAATGATGCATGCAATAGAAGCAAAGACATGGTAGAAATGGATAAACTGCTTAGGAACATTGCATCCCAACGTGCAATTGCAATATGTGTTAAACTCTAACACTAACGAAGTTTGTTGTTTACCATCCTATATCAGACAGTTAGCTTGTTAGAACGTACTGGCAGATTACCATTACCAAACAAGATCTAAAGGGCCCATACCAAGAAGCATGTCAGCCTCGGACCAAAGTATCGAGGAGGAAAGGACGGAGAATCAAATGCTGAAGGAGGAAATGGATAAGATGAGACAGGAAATGATAGAAATGCAACTAGCCTTGGCTAGGGTACAAAAAGTGTCGGTCCCTCCTGCTACTCCTGCTCTCCCACCAATACACACGCCGGAGTACCCTCCCCCTGGCCCATCAGCCAGCTTCCCAGTTCACCAATACTATCAGGAGAGAAGTACCCACGATCCCCAAGCTCCACCACCCAATCAAAACCCTCCTCCACCAAATGTTCCTGTTTTCGTGGCACCCCCGCCAGCCACACTACAAAGATCATCCAGTGAGCCGTTGTTTCAGGCTCATGATAACCAGTACTACCCCCCTGAACCTACCTTCAGAGCACCCAAGCCACATACTTATAATCCTCACCTTGAGATCCCGGCGAAAACTGAGAGGCCGGCTAAGAATTCGGAGCAGGATGAAGTGTTTCGCAAAGTGAAAAGCCTGGAGCAGTCCTTCAGGAATATGCATGGATTGGGCGGCCAAGTCAGTGTGGCCTACAAAGATCTGTGTCTTTTCCCCGATGTTCAATTACCGGCGGGTTTCAAGATGCCAAAGTTTGATCTATACGAGGGACATGGTGATCCGATGGCACATCTACGAGGCTTCTGTAGCAAGATGAGAGGAGCAGGTGGGAAAGATGAGCTGCTGATAGCTTATTTTGGTCAAAATTTGAGCGGGTCTGCACTAGAATGGTATACAAGACAGGATCCCAGCAGGTGGTACACCTGGGACGATCTAGCACAAGCATTCGCAGGTCACTTTCAGTACAACCTTGAGATCGTCCCTGACCGTCTCACATTGTTGAAACTTGAGAAAAAGCTTGGAGAGAGCTTCCGAGAATTTGGGTTCCGGTGGAGAGAACAGGCAGCCAGAGTTGATCCTCCGATGAGAGAGGGGGAAATGGTAGACTAATTTTTACAGACTCTAGAGCCAACCTACTTTGGTCACCTGGTGACGTCAGTTGGCAAATTTTTCAACGAGGTGGTAAAAATGGGCGGTATGATTGAAGAAGGACTTAGGTCCAATAAGATCCTGAGCTATTCGGCAATTAAAGCAATCACTCAGGCCATTCAGAGCGGCACGGGAGGTGCGCTCGGGAAGAAGAGAAGAGGTCGCAACAATAGAGGCAGGTAATGGGTCCAGATCAAGAGGTCCCTCCCCCCGATACCAATCCAGACCCCCTCACCCAAATTACCCACACACTCCAAATTACCCTCCACATCCCTACTACTCACCACAAGAACCACATTTCTCCGTTCATCAAGCCCAGACATATACCCAGCCTCCGGCTCGCCCGCAATGGCACGCGCCGGTCCCCCAGAATACATATCCACCTCCACAAAACACATATCTACCTCCACAAAACACATATCCACCACCAAGGGCCTACAGGAATCCTTCAGGGCCAGGTTTTCGTGGGAATCAGGCTTTCAGGAATGAAAGGGTGCAAAAGCAGAGAACATTCACTGAGTTGGGAGAAACCTATACTGCTCTGTTCCACAAATTAAGGCAGTTAGGCCTGTTGAGTCCTGTTGAGCCCAGATTGCCAAATCCCCTTCCCAAAAATCTGGACCACTCGGTGAGCTGTGAGTATTGTTCGGGGGCTCCCGGACATGATACCGAGAAGTGTTGGAAGTTGAAGACTGTCGTGCAGGATCTTATTGACACAAATAGGATCGAGGTACAGACGCCAGAGGCACCCAACATCAATCAGAACCCATTGCCAGCACACCATGAAACCCACATAATCGAACTCGTGCATGAAGGAGGGGAGCTAAAGAAACCCTCACAAACAGTGATGATAATCCGTGTCAGTCCAAAAGAAAAGTCGACCGGTGGAGAAGAGGTGGTATAGTTGGAGAAGGTAAACGTCAAGCCAGTGGTGGCAATGGGGAAGAGTTTGTCCGTTGTTGCAAAGAATTCAGAGCCGGTCAAAGTAACGGTGCGAGGGGTACCAAGCAAGCCAGTATGCATAGGGCCAGTTGTTATCAGGCCCGTAATGCAGATGCCGATAATCAACGAGAAAGCCGTGCCATGGAGCTACAATAAAGCGATGGTAATGTACAAGGGGAAGGAGGTTGTGGAAGAAATATGTGAGGCCCAGGGGTTAACTCGTTCGGGAAGGTGTTCTGCTCCCGTAGAGTTAAGAAGGTCCAACCCAGCGGTGATAAAGAAACCCGTGACAGAGGAAGAGGCCGAGGAGTTTTTGAAGAAAATGAAGGCACAAGACTACTCCATTGTGGAGCAGTTAAGAAAGACCCCGGCACAGATTTCGTCGCTATCCTTATTGATCCATTCCAGCGATCATTGCCAGGCACTGATGAAAATCCTAAACGAGGCCCATGTCCGGATAAAATCTCTGTCAACCATTTGGAGAAGATAGTGCACAAAATCTTCGAGGTAAGTCGAGTGACATTTTCTGATGATGAATTGCCAATAGAGGGTACAGAACACAACAAAGCCCTCTACTTGACCGTGAAATGTGAAGAATCGGTGGTCACTCGGCCAATATCTGTCCTTTATCTACCCTGAATAAGCTGAAAGTCGATAATGATCGGATTCACAAGAACAGCGTCTGCGTCCGAGGTTTTGATGGGGGTGGTATTGACACGGTGGGGGATATCATACTAGAATTGACCATTGGTCCAGTTGAATTCACCGTGGAATTCCAAGTGGTAGACGTGGCAGTATCATACAATCTTCTATTGGGGCGACCCTGGATCCATTCCACCAAAGCAGTGCCTTCTACATTGCACCAGATGGTGAAATTTGAGCGGGACAGGCAAGAGATCGTGGTGCACGGGGATGACGGTACAAGCACTATGGGTGATGCCATTGTGCCATTCATAGAAATGGATGATGACAAGGGTCCATGGGTTTACCAGGTTTTTGACGCGGTCTCTGTGGACAAAATTCCTGAGGGCGCGGACCTTCCACTCCCCAGAATAGCAGCTGCAACTTTCATGATAGCCTCGGAGATGCTGAACAGCGGATTTGTACCAGGAAAAGGTTAGGGGGTTGATCTGCAGGGTATTGTCCAGCCAGTTTTGTTGCCCAAGAATCTGGATACTTTCGGGCTTGGATTCAAGCCTACAGCAGCAGATGTAAGACGGGCTCGAAAGTTGAAGAAGAGAGGCTGGGTTCTTCCCAAGCCGGTGCCGCGTCTCTCCAGATCCTTTGTCAGAGCAGGTAGCAGAAGGTCGTCGGTCCCGAAAGTTCTAGGACCACTGATTGGGCCAGATGGGGATTTGAATCAGAGTTTTGAAAGGCTGTTCTCCGACGTCAACATGATAGAGGCTGGAGAAGGTTCCAGTAGGGCAGATATACAGTTTGTGGGGCCTAGGGCCAGTATCAAAAACTGGACGGCTACTCCCCTTCCTACCCGGAGGGAGTTTTGGTAGTAGGCTCTGATTTTTCTTTCTTGTTTTCTGGATTATTCCAGGGTGTAATCCAATTTTTGTTTTATTTTGTATTCGGCAAAAGTGTGAAACTCTGTTATCCCGCATTTTAATAGAGTGAAAGTTTTCTCTCCTTATTTTGTTTTAATTTTGTTTTCTTCTTTTCTCTTTCTGAACAGTTCTCTTTATACTGGTTCTAATGACATGGCATGCACAACGGATCTTCAACCTAGTCTAAAAAATCAATCTGATTCCGAACTAATTGTACAAGAGGCCAATTATGATGATGAATCAGAATACGATGAGGATGAAGCCTTTGAAGAGATAAATAGAGAATTAAACAGGTTCGAAGAGAAACCCAAGCCCAATTTGAATGACACTGAGGCCGTCAATCTAGGGGATGCGGATGACATCAGGGAAACTAAGATAAGATCCACATTGAGCCAAGCATAAGAAAAGAGCTAATCAAAGCACTTATTGAATTCAAAGACGTTTTTGCATGGTCATATGATGACATGCCGGGCTTAAGCACTGATCTAGTGGTTCACAAATTGCCCACTAACCCGACATGCCCTCCCCTCAAGCAGAAATTGAGGAAGTTCAAAACAGACATGAGTGTGAAGATTAAAGAAGAAGTAACCAAGCAGCTGCAGGCAAAGGTTATTCGGGTCACCCGATATCCTGATTGGTTGGCCAATATGGTGCCAGTGCCGAAGAAAGACGGGAGGATTAGGGTATGTGTCGATTACCGCAATCTGAACAGGGCAAGCCCAAAGGATAACTTTCCATTACCCAACATCCATATTTTGATCGATAATTGTGCCGGACGCGAGATCGGGTCATTTGTGGATTGCTATGCTGGGTATCACCAGATCCTGATGGATGAAGAAGATGCGGAAAAGACAGCTTTCATTACGCCGTGGGGGACTTATTGCTACCGGGTAATGCCGTTCGGCTTGAAAAACGCTGGGGCAACGTACATGAGGGCAATGACTACTGTGTTTCATGACATGATACACAAAGAGATTGAGGTGTACGTAGATGATGTGATCATAAAATCTAAGCGCCAGGAAGACCACGTGGAAGACCTAAGGAAGTTCTTCCAAAGACTTCGAAGGTACGACATTAAGCTCAACCCGGCCAAATGTGCATTTGGTGTTCCATCGGGAAAGCTGTTGGGATTCATCGTCAGTCGGCGAGGCATTGAGTTGGACCCGTCAAAAATCATATCCATCTAAGAATTGCCACCGCCGAAGAACAAAACAGAAGTGATGAGTCTGTTGGGAAGATTGAATTATATCAGCAGGTTCATCGCTCAACTCACAGCAACTTGTGAGCCCATATTTCGGCTACTGAAGAAAGATGCTGCGGTAGAATGGACGGCAGAATGTCAGAAAGCATTTGACCAAATCAAAGGGTATCTATCAAATCCACCCGTATTGGTTCCGCCCGAGCCGGGAAGACCGTTGATTCTCTATCTAACGGTCCTGGAGAATTCGTTTGGTTGCGTACTGGGGCAACACGACATTACAGGAAGAAAGGAGCAAGCCATATATTATCTCAGCAAGAAGTTTACAATATATGAGGTTAAGTACACTCAACTTGAGAAGACGTGTTGCGCCCTAACTTGGGTGGCACAAAAGCTGAAACATTATCTGTCATCATACACTACTTATCTCATTTCGCGCTTGGATCCACTGAAGTATATTTTCCAGAAGCCTATGCCCACAGGGAGGTTAGCAAAATGGCAGATATTACTCACGAAATTCGACATCGTCTATGTGACGAGGACGGCCATGAAGGCCCAGGCATTGGCGGATCACTTAGCTGAGAATCCTGTTGATGAAGAATACGAGCCTTTAAGGACGTATTTTCTTGATGAAGAAGTGTTGCATATAGATGAGTTGGAATCGATCGAGCAACCAGGATGGAAATTGTTCTTTAATAGAGCCGCAAATGCGAAAGGAGTGGGAATAGGAGCGGTGCTCATTTCTGAGTCGCCACTAATCCCGTTTCGATCCAAGAATTGCCACCGCCGAAGATCAGACTAGGCTGCAACCACAGAGCATACTTAGACAGTACCTTGGCCTACTTCAATTTAAGGACAATCGAAACGGGATTAGTGGCGACTCTGAATAAATCAAACTAATCCAAGAATCCCGTTTTCCAATTTAAGGACAATCGAAACGGGATTAGTTTGATTTATTCAGAGTCGCCACTAATCCCGTTTCGATTGTCCTTAAATTGGAAAACTCCCCCTATGCCCCTGCGGGCGCGGGTAAAAAGGAGGCATGACAACCAAGATAAATCTTTTCTAATGTGGAAGATCAGACTAGGCTGCGACCACAGAGCATACTTAGACAGTACCTTGGCTCAGTTACCAAGATAAATCTTTTCTGATGTGGAAGATCAGACTAGGCTGCAACCACAGAGCATACTTAGACAGTACCTTGGCTCTGATACCAATTGTTGCGGAAGCCAAATGTATATAGTGTGAATGAGTCACAACTACTATACCAAAAAAATATGGCAGCCACTAAATAATAAATAAGACAATAAAGCAACAATAAAAGGAACACCAGAATTTACGAGGTTCGGCTAACTTTGCCTACTCCTCGAACACAACCAATATTTTATTCCACTCCAAAATACAAGTGAAATAATACTAAAGAAAGAAGATACAAATGCCTTAAACAGATAAAAAGGCAAATGAGAGGTGTGTTTAAATCCTAAACATTAGGCCTACTTTTATAGGAAAAAAATCCTACCCACTTTTGCTAACCCACCGATGTGGGCCGTTGAAATTTTTGACATTTCAACACCATCCTCTATTCTAAGGAGAATATACAAATATCGAAAAAATAAATTTACAAAACTCACACGAGCAATAATATTCACACAAGTAGCAATTAAATTACTTGTGGATCGAAACGCAAAATAGATATATTATATTTAGGAGTGCTTTTTCTTTCTGAGATATTAACATCACTTTATATATTAGAGAGAAAAAGTAAAAAAGAATTTCTCTTATTTAAGTTGACCTTATAGGGTTTTTTCTTCCACAAAACTAAGAACTTAGGGTTTCTTAGGGGCAGCCTTCCCTTCCACGATGAAAACTCAACGAATCAAACGTTCACTTCAAACACCACACGAAAACAGACGAATGGCAAATCATGTACCCAACGAAATCATTATAATTATCCTCTCAAATTTACCGGTGAAATCCCTTTTACGATTCAAGTGTGTTTCTAAGCCATGGAATTCTTGGATTTCAAGCCCAAAATTCCAGCTCTCGAATCAACGACGACAAGGAGCGATCTCCATGGTGTTTAAACTTTATGAAGAGCGCAAAAAAGGTTATTCAGAGTCAACGGCCTTCCGATTCATAAACCAACAACTCACTTTGAGAGAGCGCAAGTTTCCTTTCGTGATAAGGGATAATAAGATTATATCAGGAACTTGTATGTTTTTGGGTTCTTGTCATGGTCTTATATTGGTTAATATAAACGAGCATATCTACTTGTGGAATCCTGCCACCCGATTTTGCACCAAAGTGCTTGAGCTTGACCGCTTGGACGAATGTGGCTATTGTACACACGGCGGACTTTGTTTTGACTCCTCCAAGAATGTTTATAAGGTTGTGTTGATTATGCACCATCAGACCCCAGATTATGGTGGTGAGTTTGTTATAGTTGCCAGTCTTAAAGACAAAATATGGAAGAGAGTCAAATTCCCTTACAATATCCGCTCAGTCCGTGGTGGGATTACACTACATGGACGACTTCACTAGAGGGTAAGGGTTAAAAAGCCCTACAACAGGGAGGCCGAGAGTATGTGGGATAGTTTTGGTCCTCGCAACGAAATAATTTATTTTGACCCTATCTCTGAAAAGTTCTACATGTTTCCCGTTCCTGAGCCTAAGTCTGATCAAGAAGAGAATGCTATAATTGGTTTAGGAGTTTTAGATGATTGTCTAAGTATGACTTGCTTGAAAGATGATAAGGTGGGTGTTGAGATACTGGTCATGAATGAATATGGAGTAAAGGAATCATGGACTTCTTTATTTTTCATAAGGAATTTAAAAATAAATCCTTCATATGGAACTGTAACGCCCTCTTTCGTGACAGAAGATGGAGAACTAGTTTTGATTATATGTGATCATGAAGAAAAAATTGTTATATACAATCCTAAGAATGATAGGAGTAATATGCAAAAGATTCTTGTTCACGGAAAGGAAGTATCTATGGATGGCACCATTAGCTATGTGGAAAGCTTGATCTCGCCGAACGAGTACTACTGGAGTAGAAAGCGTCACAGAAAGTTCGGAAAGCTTGTTTAAAAATCTTCCCTAAACTTGTTTTTTAATTGCATAATTGATGAATCCGCATAAGTGTTTTTTTGGTGTAATGTATTATGTTCTGTTTTATAATCCTTTGTTCTAAGCATAAGAAAGAAATACCAAAATAGTTTTTATTTTGGTATTGTTAGCATGAAATCTGTACACTTTTTAATGTCAAATGTCAAAAAAGAGAAAAACAGCTTTATTGTTGATTATCTTTCAAGTTTCATGTGAGTAATTTTGTTGATTTCTATATCTGGACAAGTTTATTGAAATGGGAATGGGAATGATTTACTTTGGATTCCAATAACACCAATAAGCAAAAAACTTAAAATCTTTTGTCACCACCACAAGTTCTTAATGAAAGATCCAGTAAAAGATTGCCGTAAAAACAGATAATAAATCAACTACAAAGTTCTCAAAACTGAAGAAAGCTGGAATTGTTTAATAGTAATTGGTGGTAACATCTTATCACCAGCTGATATCTCACCACATGTATGACAACAAAGGCTTCAGTACTCCATCTGTGTCAAAAAAAAAAAAAATTATCAAGAAAACATACTAAATAAGCATGTTGAGCGCCTATAATAATCAGAAGTAAAGAGAAGCTAAGGCTGCAGCCAAATGGCGCTATAGTATCAGAACCTATTTGATCGTATTAGACAACTGAATTTGAGCACACTGAGGCACTTCCATGTAAGTCTAGTGTACTTCTTACAGACTCATGAGAACTAGTACTTGCTATGAACTAAAATAGTTGTCGATTCAACTATTTTAGTTGTGTTTTTTTGGATAACCGTAGTGTCCGGGCTAACTTGTGCCACCTCGTCTAATTCCACAAAATACGTGTCACCTCCCACCAGCAAACTCTGTCCACTCTTGGATAGATGGGAAGAACTTGATTTCCTGTTATTTAAATTAGAAGGTTCTATGTGGAAGTCACAGGAGCAAGTTATGTAGATCAGAGACGATGAAAGAACTCAACTGCCAGCACAATTGAAAGGGAAAAAAATTAAAGTTCTGTAATAGTACCTTTTGCCTTTTTGCTTGTGCAACATCATTTTGTTGAGGAGAAGTCCCAACATCTTCATTGGCAAGCTGCACAAACAACATGCTTAGAAACTCAACTGTAATGGAAAGGAAGAAAACTTTAAGTTTTGTAATAATACCCTTTGTCGTTTCGCATCTGATGGGATTTCCACACGATCATTTAGTTGACAAGAGGTCCCAACATTTTCATTATATTGGGAAAAAACTGAATTTATATTGAAGATGACATGGCATGACACGTGGACTGGTCAAATGGTCAAAACATGATGATCAGTTAAGAGGCACGAGTGACAACAGATACGGGGAGAAGAAAGCTAAATAGGCACGAGAAGCAATTCGAACAATACAAGCTTCGTACCTATTTAAGAGCCAGGAAATCAGAAGACATTAAATATATGGATCTGATGACGAAAAGGAGTCCAAATTCAATATTAAATACTCAATACGTTAGAAAATTGGTATTAAATAGGAATGATCATGTAACGTCTCATTTAATGTCTTTTATTGCTCATAATTGCCTCATTAAGACTAAGACATTACACCTTTTCCTAGAATCAACTATAAAAGGAGGAGGTCTCAGCATTTGTAAGGACACGGAATATCATTGATATTACACTGAAATACAAACTTATTTACTGCTTTATTATTCTCAAAAGTCTCTTATTCTTTTCGTCTCCTGATTATCAGTAACCCGATTTTTCTCTTAATTTCTAGCTTTAAACTGAAATTCTATTTTTTGGTTAAACAAATTGGTTCCATTACCGGGAATCTGATAATATATTCCTTTAAGTTACATTTTATTTGTTGTTATCATCATGTCAAACAACAACAACAACAACAACAATAACGCTGATGAAAATCAAATTCATCAGAATCAAGGAGATTTACACAACATTAACGTAATTCCTTCCCCTCAAAATTCACCACGTCAATCTCGTGAAGGTACTCCTGCTCCTGAATCTCATGCTGACGAACAAGGGCAATCTAAACATTTTGAGGGACCAGATGAAGCTTTACAAAAAATAATTGATGCACGGGTTAGCAAAGCTCTTCAAGCTCTAGTTAGCCGGTTACCTGCTGCACCACCCACACCTACTCCTAATAACAATACATTGGAGAATCCTCGTTCTGGCCTTGTTAATTCTGGAAATGAAGGAGCCCCCAGCGAACCACAGGAAGTGGATCCAGGTAATATAAATAATTCTCATTTGCAAAATTTGGTACTAACTTTGCAGAAACAGCTCAAAGAACAAAACGAGCGTATCGAGCAAATCCCCGGAGTTCCCCCTGTAATCAAAGGAGTAGATGTGGATAAATACTCGCAACAACCTTGGAAACCAAGTGCTGCTCCCCTTCCAATCCCTAAAAAGTTCAAAATGCCTGACATCTCGAAATATGATGGCACAACAGACCCACGTGATCATGTGACGGCATTTACTACAGGTGTCAAAGGCAACGATTTGACCAAGCAAGAAATTGAGTCCGTGTTGGTCAAGAAATTGAGTCCGTGTTGGTCAAGAAATTTGGAGAAACACTCACCAAGGGTGCATTAACCTGGTATTCTCTTTTACCTGAAAATTTTATAAACTCTTTTGCTGAGCTTGCAGATTCTTTTATTAAGGCGCACTCAGGAGCTCAAAAGGTTGAGAAAAGAATGGAAGACATTTTCAAAATTAAACAAGGGGACTCAGAGTTGCTCAGAGATTTTGTTGATAGATTCCAACGGGAAAGGATGACTTTACCCCGTGTACCTGATAATTGGGCTGCAATAGCTTTTGCAAGCAACTTAAATGATAAAAGTTCAGAAGCCACGAGAAGACTTAAAGAAAGCCTGCGAGAGTTCCCTGCAACCACGTGGAATGACGTTTATAACAGGTACAGTACGGAGTTGCGAATTGAGGAGGATACCGTACCTCAATTTCATCATGAGGAAAGGAGCAATTCCAGGAGGTCAGAAACCGAAAAAAGATCAGGTAAAAATAGATACGATCCATAATGGGACCTGCAGGAAAAGATTCACGGTCAAAGCAGGAAAATCAACGATATGATCAAAAATCAAGAAACAGGGAATCTGGCTCTTCATCAAGGTTCTGGAATGATCGAAACAGACAAGAGTCACGAGATGATGACGGAAGTTTGAAGGCAAGATTCGGTGGATATAATTTCAATGTCACTACCTCCGAGCTCGTAGCTGTTTTGAGGAGCATGGGAGATAAGGTACGGTGGCCAAAAGAGATGCAGTCAAATCCAAATAAGAGCAATCCAGATCATTGGTGTGAATTCCACAATGATCACGGGCATAAGACTTCAGAATGTAGATTCTTACAAAGTGAAGTGGACCATCTATTGAAACAAGGGTATCTCACTGAGTTATTTAGTGAGAAAGGTAAGCAAGCCTACATGAAAAATAGGCAAGAACCACCAAATCCCCCATCACCCAAGAGAACCGTGAATGTTATAAGTGGGGGAGAAGATATTTATGGAGTAGCATATACAACTTCAAATAAAGTTTTCAAAGTAACAATCACGCACGGGGAGCGAGTGCGACAGACCTTAGAAGATGAAAGTATCACTTTTGATGATGCAGATACAGAAGGAGTGATCACCCCCCACAACGATGCACTGGTAATATCTTTACTTGTACATGATGCTAATGTAAAGCGAGTTTTGATTGATCCAGGGAGTTCTGCAAATATCATCCTATTAAGGGTGCTACGAGAAATGCAAGCGGAGGATAAAATGATTCCAAAGGCGCATACTCTATCAGGGTTCGATAATTCCAGTGTGGTAACTAAAGGAGAGGTAATTCTAACAACTTTTGCAGAGGGTGTTGTGAAAGATACCAAATTTCAGGTAGTAGATATGGAGATGGCCTACAATATAATCATGGGGAGACCGTGGATTCATGATATGGATGCTGTCCCATCAACTCTACATCAAGTTATAAAATTCCCATCACCATGGGGGATCTGCCAAATTCGTGGAGAACAACATACAGCTAGGAGTATTAATACTGTAGCAGATATGAGTGCTGTAAATAAAGTTGAAGGAATCATGGACCAGACCACAGCTGAACAAGAAAAGACAGATTTAGACTCGAGACCTGATATGATTCAAGAACCTGAAGAGAATGAAAATATCAAAACGACAATTGAGGAGCCGAGGCTGTGATATTATTTGAGCAATGGCCTGAACGAAAGGTTTACGTGGGAGCCAATTTAAGCTCAGACATGCTAGGTATGTTGATTGAATTCTTAAAAGCTAACATGGATTGTTTTACTTGGTCCCATGCTGATATGACAGGGATACCACCGGATGTGATGACTCACAAACTAAATGAAGACCCATCCTTCACACCCGTAAAACAAAAGAAAAGAAAGCAAGGAGCTTTCAAAAACCAG